TGAGAGAGAGAGAGAGAGAGAGAGAGAGAGAGAGAGAGAGAGAGAGAGAGAGAGAGAGAGAGAGAGAGAGTGCACCTGTCAGATGAGTAATTATCTGACACCCAGTAGTGCTCCACTTTAGTGCTGTAAAGATCTAAGGTCACAGGTAGGTGAAGCTTTCTGCTGTGTAACAGAAAAGCTCTGGGTCACCCCTCTTGTAGTTCACACTTCACAAACTCCCTCCTACTGTTTAGGCAACACATATCCTTCTGTTTAACCAGGGCAATACAAACCTAAACAATGCAACACACTACATATTGTAGGAGTGAAGGTGCGTTTCATAGTTTAATGGCACATTGTGGAGATTGATCACCTCTAATGTTGCTGAGTAACCACTCTGAAACAATTTTTTGCAGATTTGTATACAGGAAAGTTTACACATTCAAAACATGTTCAAAACTGGAATTTAAAATGGGTCTCAAAAACATGTTTACGATCACAGTTTTATTATCATTTAATCAAAGACACTACTAGCACTCAATAATAAGAAAGGTAAGCTCTAAAGTTTTCTATGTCATGGTTACCTGGAAGGTGGAGGAACACTTGGAGAGCGCGACCGCACCCGGTTTATTTCAGCTGATCGAGAGCAGTGGTTAGACGACATAACCTGCTCAGGAACTGACAATGTGGAGCTCTGGAAGTCTCTTCCATTTGGCCGATAGTCTGAAAAAGAGACAAATTGGAAAAGAGAGGTTTAAAGAGAAATACATAGCAATGGCTCCTTACTTTTAAAGCAACACTTTAATAGTTCAGTGTGAGTTCCTTTTATGTTTTACTGAACTTAAACCATAAAAATGTTGCCTTCATTAAAGACAAAAATCTCTAGCAATACAAATCCAATTTGACCAGCCACTTTTCTCAAAGCTAACCTAAATGACATACTGCGCAGGTAAACAACTCCATGTTTTCGATATGCTGATTCCATTTATTCCAAAATATGAGAACTAGATTTTCATATAAGTGCATTTCATCTGCTGTGTTAACATTGTCTATTAAATATTAAAATGGCCTTAAAAATCTGAAACATTATAATGATTTTTGTTCTGCTAGAATGATTAGTTCATTCAACTTGAAAGAGTTCATCACCAATAATCAGACATGGTTAGAAGTCGTAGTTAAGGTCAACACCTAGGATTATTAAAGCTGATTGATATTCATTAGAGAARGTAGAACATTAAAGTAAATTAAAAGAAAAAAGCTTAAATGTTTAAAAAAGCAGGAAGAGTGGAACAAACTGGAACAATTGATAAATAAATTTGAAGCCCCACTTACCCAACTTTAGACTTATTAACTTGATGAAAACAAGTAATAACTTGTAATGGGTCATAAATTGATTTGCCTGGCCCTTGCCTTCCTACGCAGTTCCACTCAATTCTAGTTTCCCTTCACTGCTCTGTCTGGGATTTCTCCCATAGACAAGGATTTCTTCAGGAGAATTTCATTCGGGCCAATCAGAGAACAGAAGGAGTTTTGAACAATGTTGATTTTCTGCGCAGTGTCTGCTAGTTAGTTTAGCATACGGCAGTGGAGGAAGTGAATGAAGCCAGTCCATGTTGATAAGGCTTCCAAATTAAATTAAATTTGTCTGACAAAGCAGCAGCTCTCATTTACAGTCGTCTCATTCGGCTCGGTACTTCTCTCCTCTCATTGGTTTGTTTACAGCACACGCATTTTCAGGTTAGCTTAGCCTCCTTCACAGTAGAGCTGGCATACACAAATGTCACAGCCAACTGATCCAACCATTTCAAACTTCAGCAGAGGCCACGCCTCCAGCAAGAATCGCTTCTCTATAGATGAGAGCCCAGACCCTCGTATGAAGCTAAGCGAAGGACAAGGGGCTGTTTTTAACCAGGGTATAAATTGATAAGCTGAGGTGGTGGATTAAATGAAATCAAAATGTTACAAGCTAATTGTTTCATGTATTAGCACGTAACTTGGTAACAAATATTTTTACAACAGCCCCATTTGAAGTCAAATTAGGAGTATTACACTGACATTGAATTTGGCTTATATCCTTCCAGAGTACCATCATGAACAGAGATGAATGGGAGGAACTATTTCTAACAATATCTGTGGATGCTATAGAAATGTGTCTGCAAGTGTGGAAAAAGTTGGAAAATAATGAAAATATTGCATTGAAACTTGGATCCTGCTGATCGTTATTTTTGAAGGACTTTGATCAGCATTCAGCACAAAAATAAATATCTACTGGGATACCCAATTAAAAGTGCAATGATAGAAAAAAAGTAATGGTTTCCAAACATTTCAACTTGTGACCCACAAAATAACAGTAGCAGAGACCTGCGCCCCCAACTATTTTTTGAGTGATAAACATTGGTATCGGGTCAAATAAATGAGGGCACAATATTATTGTGCTTTCTTATCAACTTTTTAGTGCACCAACCACACTACTTTGTAACAACTAAGGAAAAATATTTGTTGTTAGTAGTTATTTTTAAATGTAAATAATCATGAAAATATTTTCAAGACCCCACCTTGATGTTTCAGGTCTCGACCACAACTTTGGGAACCACTCGTACAAAGATACTGAAAACTTATGGTTGGAGCACAACCAGTATTACGGTTAAACGGGTACTAGGACACACTGGCATTAATGGCAATGAAAGAGCTGACTACCTTTCAAAAGCTATCAGTCAGGCCCAATTCAAGGCACCCGAGCCTGTTGTAGGTACCTCAACAACAGTCTGTAGGACTGCCCTACAGGCCTGGATTAGATGTCCAACATTCAATCCTCTGGAGGGAGCTGACGGACTGTAGACAGTCACGGGAACTGATTAACGGCCCAAATCTAAGGTTTGGGAAAGCTCTCATCTCCCTGTCAAGGAAAACTCCAAGTTCACTGGTTGGAGTCCTAACTGGGTACAATCTGCTCAACCACAAAATGGTGATGGGACTCCATGACAATGGTCTGTGTGATGTCTGTGGCATTGAATTAAGAGACCTCTTTGCACTACTTAGACCACTGCCTGGCTCTGATCAGTCAAAGGAAAATGATTTTTGGGGACGCCTTTATGGATCCTGAGAAGCTCAGAACACTGAGCGTTTCTAACCTTGTGTCCTTCATCTGAGGGAAACAAAGGTTTGATTAAAGTTCAGTGTCTTGTTGGGGAGAGCAATGGGCCCACTTACAAGACCCCCACTCATATGGGTTCTTTATCCATCCCCACGCACTATAAACCATAAGCCATAACCTTCATTTTATCACCCACTTACTTACAGTATAAAGCTGTGAAGATGTATGAATTTGTATGGGTTCCTAATGAAAGATACTCGAATAAAGATACTGATGGCTAACACCTTAATCTCAGTGCTCGTTGTGGTTTATGAACCAGACAACATCATGGAAACAGTATCATTCTCACATATACATTAACAATATATTTTATGTAATTTTATTGTCCTTTTTTTAGAAAATGCAATAAGGACAAAATCTGAAAACACAAGTGTTTTTTCCATACTCTGCTTTTTTTAAATGTACAGTATCAAGATCAGAAAATAATACAAGAAAATGTACTTTTTCATACTTTTCAATATTGCATGAAAATCCTGTTATTCATTAGTAAAATAACAATCAGCAGGAGAAAAATTGACTGTTAAAACCAGTGTTTATATGCTTAAGCTAATAATATTGTAGATGACCACATTCATGTGCACACCAAATCTAAAGAACCTGTCACACTATAATGTTTTAGACAATTTAGGAAAAGGTTTGTTCAACACTAAAGATGTCTAAGCTGAAGATTGAATTTAAAATAAATCTACTGGAAGCCTCTTTTGGACCTATACATTCTGTATACATAGCCAATGTGAGTAAAATAAGTATCCCCAAAAATGAGTCATAATAAAATTATCATAAGTCAGCATAAGTTGTCTAAAATGTTATAGTGAGACAGTACCTTTAGACTGGARAGTAACATATTTACCTGTTATAACTCCTACTCCATCTTCACAGTCATAGTCTGATATCTCGCTGTCACTTATCCTCTGGGATCCTTTGAGATCAAGATAAAAGTGGCAGAATAGAAAACAACAGAGAGAGAAATGGAAAAAGGAATGATTCGTTTTTTATACCCTTGTACATGCTCATACTAATACATAATATTCATACTTTTCACAATATAACCTGTATTGATTTACATAAAAAAATCAATTGACAGACTTTTCTTTAAATGTGTACTTTTATCTGAAAAGGTGGGGTGTGTGTGAAGTGACATGGCAGCTCTTTCTTCATTAACCCAAGTTGATTTACCCCAAAATACACACACAGCACCAATAACCCTAACCACATCCCTCCATTTTCACCTCTCAGTCAACTTAAATCAAGTGGACACGCATGCTTTTTCAAAAATAACAAGTGCTGCTCTCTGGCAGCACCACTCCCAATCTCTCATCTCGGTTGGCAGAAAACTTTTTACAGCTGTCAGCTGTTTCACCTCGACTAATACAAACGCTCAAAAGATTGTTCTGGTGAGGAGGGAGGAGGCCTTAATCAGCCAGAAGAAACAGAACAGTAAAGGAGTTCCATGTAAATCACACTAAAATACAGTCTGAAGCAGCTGGAAAACAATCTGCTAGCTAATACACTCTAACAGGCATGAAGGAAACCACAAAAATACTGTAAGTTTCAGGTTTTGCATTGTGTTCAAATTATGTTTTTACAAAGAGAAGGAAATTTGTTTTTTATGAGTTTTGGAAGGTTATTTTATTAATATATGTATGTGTGCACTCGAAAATCAGCTCAGGTTGTGGGTTGCTTAGTATTTAACTGTTTTAAGCCAGTCTTAAGAAAATGCAAGAAGTTTAAACACAAGCAAAGAAGAATGAGCAAAAAAGAGTAGCATCAGTAAACTCTGATTGGTAGATGGAAAATACTTTGTAGTAATACAAACTACAACCTGGTACTTGGTGCTGTTTTTTTTTATAAACACCATAGTGTGTCACAGTGTTGATATAATATGATGTTTTGCTTTTTATTCCCTCATCTTCCCTTCCCTTGTGTTTTTCAGTTTTTCTTTGTTTCTAAGTTGGCGCCATGGCAGGCTGCCTGTTACTGCAACTCCATTGTCTTGAGCTGCTGTAATGTTCAAATTTTCCCACTGTGGGATCAATAAAGTTCTATCTATCTATCTATCTATCTATCTATCTATCTATCTATCTATCTATCTATCTATCTATCTATCTATCTATCTATCTTACAAAGTACATACCTCATACTTAAAAAACCTACAGGGGGTAATTACAGGGTACTTCTGGGGTTACATAAAAGGTGCATCCAAGGTAATTATATGGTATTTCCTAAACACTATACTGAGTAATTTCAGAGTACATATGGGGTAATATGCAGGGTAACTGCAAGGTAATGTACAGGGTAATTATCTTGGACTTGCAGGGGTACTTAAGGGACTGTTTACAGAATAATTATTGGGTACTTATGGATATGTACCAGGCATATAACCTGTAATTTCCCAGGATGTTACCCTAAGTACCATCTACACACCTCTGTAGGAACCCTGTGATTACTCTGAACATATATATGTTGGTACCTTGTAACTGCCCTACACCTATCAACTGAAGTACCTTGCAAGTACCACGTACCACTTTTTAAGTAGCAGGTATGTACCCTGTAAAAACTAGATTGTATGTATTGCTATTAAATATTCATAKTGTACCAATCAGTACAGATTACAGCATAGTAATAACTTATCAAGTGCTGCCAAAATGATTGCCTTGGTCATTAAAACATCACTCTGAGATAAAGAACAAACACAGTTGCGAGGATACGGGTGTAGGTTGCAGGGTAGGACTGTATGGTAGTTTATAGGTGAAGAAATGGGGTAAGGGAACACTTTAACTTTAAACTCTCTCTGAATTGGGCTTGTGTCTGCTACCCTGAGTGGATTTGAAACCAGAGTGCTAAAGTTTACAGCAGCTCTCCACCTTCAAATCCATCTACGGCAGCAGAAACAAGCAGTTTTTACAGAATAAGAGGGGCAGTGGGAGGTCAGAGTATAAGGAGGCTTATTTATTGCAGGCTGTAAAAATATTTATTCCCTTAATATTCTCACTTTTTGTTGATGGGTTTATTCTTGTTTTCTTTAATGTAATTATGAGTAATGGATGTACATAAAATACTTCCTATAATTTGGATAATTAAGAAAGAATGATCACCAATGAATTTTCCACACAAACAAATCTATAGAGAGGTACAGACCAGGTTTGGGCCATTTAAAAATAATCAATCAATCAATCAATCAATCAATCAATCAACCAATCAATCAATCAACCAATCTATCCTCTTTACTCACTTTCTATGCTGGGTCATGGCATGGCTAGTGCTTGTCCCTATTGGCCTTTGTGCAAGGGGAAAGAAGGGGGGACACCCTGGACAAATCCATCGTAGCTATGAGGCAAACAAGGCAGCAAACCATTCATGTTCTGACTGTTTTGAGCTACCAAATAACCTAGCATGCATGTTTTTAGTCTGTGGGAGTAAACCAGAGTACCCACCCAAAATCACATGCATGCACCAGGAGAACATGCAAACTCCACACATAAAATACCCCAACTGAGTAATGAATCCATGACCTGCCAAGAGAGGGTTTTCCTGGTGGCTGCAGGTCTATCCTTTTACCAATAAACCCACTGTCCCTCCTCTGGACATGTCCAAACCAATATACCCACTGTCCCTCCTCTGGACATGTCCAAACCAATAAACCCACTGTCCCTCCTCTGGACATGTCCATACCATCTCAGTCTGGTCTCTAACTTTATCTCGCAGTGGTTCAACTTATGCTGGACCGCTGATGATCTCATTTCTAATCTTATCCATACTTGTCAAGGAGAACCTCAACATCTTCAGCTCTGACACTTCCAGTTCTGTCTCCTGTCTTGTTGTCATTGTCACTGACTACAAACCATACAACATAGCTGGTCTCACTGCTCTTTTATGAACCTGTCCTTTGTACTTTACTGATACCATTTTTGTAACTCTTGAAAGCATCCTGTCTGGACTCTTATTCACCTCTTTACCACACTCTCACTTTTCCTGGACAGCAACTCTAATTATTTGAAGGCCCACACTTTTGTGACTTCTGCTCCTTAAAGCCTCACTGTTCTCATAACATATTACAACGTCATCTGCAAACAGCATAGTCAACAAGGATTCCTGTTGACCTCATCTGTTAGTCTGTCCATCAGAGCAAACAAGAAGGGGTTCAGAGCCGATCCCTGATGCAGTCCCACCTCCACAACTCTCTCTCTCWGAACTTCATTGTGTGGCTCATAAACATAAATCTCTTAATTCCCTCCACCGGTATGTCATCGAGTCCAACTGCCTTCCCTTTCTTCATCCTCACTAATCTTTCTGAATTCCTGGTCCACAGTTTCTATGACCTCTTCTCTTCATTCATTAACTCCCCAAAGTGCTCCCTCCATCACCAACACCAAACTGATAAATTTGAGAATCAGTGTCATTTTTGGACGAAATAGAGTCCAAATTTGAAGAGCATCTCATGGAGGAGATTAGAAAACGTTATGATACGTCAATGAAGGAATCTAAAGACTTTCAGCGAGCAACAAATTTGTGGAAGGAAACAGCTCATATCCAAATGACTTCTAGTCACTTGGAGATTCTTCCTTACCACCCATAAAAGTATATTTTTCAGATAAAATATATTTCAAAGACTAAAAAGGAGAGTATGCTGTGTAAAAATAATACAACCTCTCCAAAACATCTTTAAATTCCACAATGTAAAGACATCCAATCATAGAGAATACCAAAAGGAGTGAATACTTTTTCAGCCCACTGTAGAGGTGGAAAAAAAACACTAGGATGGTCTTTGGAGCACCAATGCCAGGGTGTTGCAGGGGCCTTTACCTGAGTTGTGTGAATATGAGCCCTTGTCTGTAAAACAAAAGCAGTATGTTTGACATGACACAAATAATAAAATAAATAATATTAAGAAGAAAAATATGTGTGAAATTTCTGTTTGATGTGTTTTGGTTTGTACACCAAAACCTTTGCACAACCAAATTCTTCCATGTTAATAACTTTAATGTGGATAAAAGGTCTCTTTACTGTGYAACTGTGGATCTCTAGATGTTCAGATGCATGATGCTTGAAAAATATTTGTATAAAAAGAGACAGAATTTCTTACTCTGCAGCCGCCGTGTTGGACTCTCTCCATGAAGCTGCCTGCGCTGTGCATTTGGGGAGGCACGTGGAAGTGGGATGGATGACACGTCGTGTGTTTGTAGCTTGTACCAGTGAGGTTCGTCATCTAAAAGAGCCGTCTCCAGCTCAATAAGGATCTGCCAGAAGAACAGCAACAGAGTAAAATATAAACATGCCATCACTAAGACTTTGTTCACTAATGAATTTACATGTACTAATAAATGTTTCTATAATATTCATGGAGCTTTTACAGCAAGCGTGGTCTGTGGGAGGAACCCACATTTGCATGGGGAGAAAATGCAAACTTCACACAGAAAACCTCCAGCTGGGAGGCAATCTTAAGACCTTCTTGCTGAGAGGCAACAGCTCTCACTGCACCATATTTAGTTTTTTTTAATAATCAGAAACAAATACTATCCACTAAATACTAAATATCTTGCAAATGAAGGCCAAACTTTTGACCACTGAGACATAACCAGATGTGATCAATAAAACAAATATTTGTTTTTTCAATTAATCTAAATCCAAACATCCAAACATTCTTGATGTTTCAAAGTTCTGAGAAATATGTAACAGCCATTAGAAGTTTGTTAAAAGACAAGTATTTTGTTAAATTATTTAGCACGATGATCCAAAATAAAGGAACATGAAGACGTAAAATACAAAGCAACAGTTTTTAAACAGCAAAACTTACATTGAACARAAAACATAAAAACATGACTTTCACTTATTAAAATGTAACTTTTTGGTTTATTTGATCTAGTTGTGGTCCCTATATTTTATTATTTATTACTAGATTTTAAATGTACATGTAAAAGCAAATACAATACTTCTTTTAGTCATGGGAATAAAGTCAAATGATCATGACACAAAATGGGGGTAATGTTCTTACCTCTCCTAGGAATTCACTCTCCTCCTCCCTTACTCTGGCTTGGTCCCACAACGTGATCTCCAGCATGCGCTCTCGAAACTCCCGCCGGTGGACCGGTGAATACATAAAGGTCTGATTCCATTTGGGCTCTAAGGATTTCTTTACTGTTTTTGTTCTCCTCTTGCTTTTGTCACTGGAGGAACAATAATTCAAACTGTTTATATTTACAATCATGACAGCGAAGAGCCACGAATACAAGAAATCCACAACATGACACCACACAGACACAACATCAACTAATTATAAGTAGAAGTGAAAGCTATTGTGCTGACATTTCAACATGTCCACAATTACTAGTTTGTACATTACCTGATAGTAATGGGTAAATCACAAGGGCACACAAGCTTGTGACATCAGTAAAATAATACAAAAATCCATCCATCCATTCAACCATTTATCCATCCATCCAGCCATCCATCCATCCATCCAGCCAGTTTCTACACACAATTTTTCCTCTTCGTAGTTGGTTGTGTTTCCCATCTCCAGCAGTCATTGGGAAATAGGTGAGATACACACTGGACAGGTTTCCAGTCCATGACCCCACAGAGACACACAAGTCAGTCAATCTTGTACACATACATTTAAACTGAGGGTAATTTGCAATCACCAATTAAGCTAACATGTACTTTATGAGTTTGGGCCATGGGAGGAAGCCAGACCATAAGAGAAAATCTACTTGTGCAAATTCTACACCGAAAGGCTTCTGGCCAATACTTGAGCTTTCAAACTTCCTTTAAAGCAGTAGTGCTGAACAACCACCAGTGACAATTGGTTCAGTTCAAAACAAGACCCTGCATCTGTCACAAAGTGGTCTATCAGCTTATTTTTAAAGGAACTGTACTGATTTCATACCTAAAATAATGAGTTTCTTTTCCTCTTACCTTCTGTCAGGGAGAAAGTAGATTTTGACATAAGGGTTCCTGGGCCGCCCGTCTTCCCTGGGTGGCAAATCTTTGGCGCCCAGGATGGTGACTATTAGCTGGTGACCCACTTTGTCATACCATAGTTTGACCTGCGAGAGCAGAGGAGGGATGACACTCTGAGAGACAGCTTAGTGACAGTTCAGGAAGAAAAACAACAAAAATAATAATATCAGAGGAAAAATAAAAAGAGAAAGGGAATAATGCAGGAGAAGATGATTTCATCAAGACAGAACTGAAATTAATACAGATTCATTTAAATCTATTTATGTTGAGTTTATATTTTCCAAGTTAGTAATGTGTGCATTGTTATCCACTGTACTAACCCTACAAAAAAGATACGTAACTAATGATGTCAGGCTTTGTTTTAGCAAAATATTTGTTTAGAATTGAAATATTTGCTTTAACGTTAATAAAGCATGGAGCCTAAATCTATCTATCTATCTATCTATCTATCTATCTATCTATCTATCTATCTATCTATCTATCTATCTATCTATCTATCTATC